TTTATCCATTCATCAAGCTTTTCAAATATAACAGTGGAATGGCATTAGGAAAAAAAAACACAGGACAATCACTAAAATGTCATATTCTGCAACTGAATGATAAGAATCCCATTAAAACTCAACATTAAAGCATTGTTTGCTGGAAGAAAAATTGCCATGGCTTTGATAAAGAAAAACAAAAATAACCTTGCCCTTTCCAGCTTTAATCAAGTAATTTGTGACCCAGTAAGAGCCCTCTATTGCTGAGTTATTTTTGGAGCATTTATCACAGGTGTTTCACTTGTGTTCATCACATCCTGATTCTAATCTTAATACGCTTAACAATAGTAGGGCAGCTTTTGAGAACGGGCAGACTGGTTCTCCCAGTTGTTTTGTACTACATTCTTATACCAGAATTATTTAGTTGGGATTTGAATATATTTTCAAACATTCATTTCACCTAAAAAACAGCTCAATTCAYGTAGGGGGTATTCTTGCATCAGTAAGTCGTATGAAGAGAGATATTCATGGACAAAACTAAAATTTGGCCCAGTTCCTTCATGTTTGAGCAATGACCAGTGTGCTGGACAGCAACCATTTGAAGGAACATTCCTTTTCTGGGTGCTCAACACTTGGGGTATTCTCACCCACTTGACTGCAATCTGGGTTGTATTGAGGGCTTAAATCATCTTGCCATATAAACAGAAGCAGAAATAACCCAGAGTTCTCTAATTAGCCTCATTAATTCATTACTTGTGAGAGCTCCTGGCTTCACTGGTCCTATGATGGATTGCGGCAAACGCAGCGTGCATCCCAAGCCAAAGGCGAGGGCATGTAAGAGCAATGTCCATGAGATGATCTTCAGATCCAGCAGTGAAAATTTCTGTTTAAGTACTTAATATTTTTTAAAGTACTCCAGATCATTTTTCTTGCAATGATTATGCTTTTACTGTGTGATAAATAAGACTCTGCCGGAGGATACCAGAGGGCATGCGGCACCAGAATAATATCTTTGCAACATATTTTGAGTGGTGATCACACCATTTCTAGCTCACCATATGGCTTAGTGCAGCTGTCCTGGCATTAAAATGACCTTCTTCATTACATAAAGGTCACAGATGCAGAATTCAACATTTTGCAACCCTTGGCAGGGGTACAGGCTATGCAGGGAGTACACCTGTTATCCTGCCTGCAGTTCAGAGCACCGTCACCCATTAACTGATTGAAATACACGGATTGAAATTTAGCTCCCATTGCTGTTGATACAATCAGTTAATAAACTTAGCTGTATCAAACAGTTTCATGTGCTGAGTTTAATAAATTAGAATGCCAACCTACTAGCATCAACTTCTTTATAAGTTTTTCTTTGTTAGCCCTAGTAAGCAGCACTGCTACATGCTTCTTTACTAAGCCTGGTAATATCCTCATCTTTAAGAAAAGAAAAAGTAGAAAGGAAGTTAAGGCAATGACCAAGTTGTTTCTCTGCATAAAACAGTTAAAGTTTTCTTCATTCAGAGAAGAATTCTTTTGCATATTAATACTGGAGTGAAGAGAATGCCCAGTTTTAACCACTTCCCCCTGCCTTGTCCTGCAGAAGCTGCTTTGCCACTGAAGAGCTGAGCTGGATTTCCCTGCCCTTTTCCCCAGACTAGCAGAAAAGCCTTGGAGTGTTTCTCAGCGTGTTCCTCCTGCTGCTTCATGCTGCTTCAGCCCAGCAGCATGTTGAACAAGATGGAGTAGTCAGCCTCTTGACTTAATCAGGATTTTTAAGGTCAATAAAGGGCATGGATAACCACTAAAACACACTTCTTTCATAGGAGTGTTCAACAGCCTAGTCTTTTGATGGATATCACCAGAAAAAAAAAGAAAAAAAAAAAAAAGCTGTAATTTGTTTGCACCTCTGAAGAACTGCTAGACAGAATGCTTTAAACAGAACATTCTAAGAAAGAATAGAATAGAAATAGAATAGAATAGAATGAATAGAATAGAATAGAATAGAATAGAATAGAATAGAATAGAATAGAATAGAATAGAATAGAATAGAATAGAATAGAATAGAATTAATATTTCAGTTGGAAGGGACCTATAGCTAGTCCAATGACCTTCCAGCTGACCATTCAAAAGTACTTTGACACAACTACTGCAAATTCAGAAGTTCTTTTGGAGGTATTTCATTGATACAATGCTAATATATTCAGGAATATCTCAAAGTCACTTTTCCTCAGCCAGTCTCAGAGCAGCCTATCACCCATACTATTTCTGCCTGTTCTCTGTGTCTTCCATAGCATTGAACTTTCATAAAACCTCCTGATTTAGTTTGTTTAGGATAACCAAACATGCTCCCTGAAAATCTAATTGAACTTGGAACACCTAATGTGGGAGCATTTCATTAAAAAGGGACACCAATCATTGATCTATGATGTGACCCTTTTTTTAATAATTAATAAAAAATCCTAAGGCATATGAAAAGTCGAAACAAAAAAACACCCCAAACAAAGCAAACACTCTAAGACTGTAATTTACTCCCACAAGTAAGAGACAAAAAGAAGTAAACAGGCACTGAAGGTAAAGTACAAAATGCTCAGGGAGATTGGCACAGCATAAGAAAGCATCTAATTTTGGCTACCAAAGGGGCTCATATTGATTTTTTTTTTCATTCTCTGTGTATTCTTCTATAGAGATTTTAAATACAGTCTCCATTTTGCTCTTATGAAAACCATGTTTCTTGGAGGGCAGTCTGGGGGAGAGAAAAGAATAGCTCTTTCTGCTTGAAAAATAGCAGCCTACTTAGCACTTACCAGAGCATTATACACCCTAATGTTCTGAGAAGCACCTTTTCAGGTACACAGAGGAAAGATGGATGCCTTGGGAGTTCTTAGAAATTATTTAAATCCATGCAGGCTGCTGAGTGTTTTCTCATTTGTGCATTGTGAGAGACAGACCCAGATTCTAGCCATCACTTTTGGAGCTATAAAACTGAAATTAAGGGCAAATGACATGGAGCAATTCAGAAATACCTCTATTTGTAGGTCATAATTGAAGTTATTGAAAGGATTGTTATGCAGAAAATATTCTCTTCAGGGCTGCCCTAGCAGCTAGAGTCTGACTCCTTGATTTTCAGACAGGTATATGGAAAACTCCAGTTGTGATCCACTGAGTGACTGAAAGATAATTCTTCATTCAGTCAATTATTTCTGACACTTTAGAAAATTCTAAATCTTTTCAGGATCAAAACAAGCTGTATTAGCAGCACCAATACCTAATTTTATTCCCTTTTTGTTACAGAGATTTTTGTTCTTAAGTAAAAGGTGCAAAAGTTCTAAGCGGTACATAACACTTACAAATAAATAAATTTTACTTCAGCAGGAGGAAGGAGAGACCTCACCTTTCCTTGCTTTTCCCTAGCTGTTTTTTGTGGAGAGGCTTTAACCAGACGTCCCAAATGATTGTGCTTGAGGTTGCCCAAAAAAATCACTGATTTCTCAGATCCCACTGCAGCCTGGAAAGGGTGTGGGGATGCGCCACCACTCCAGAATCCCTCCAAACTTATGTCTCCAGCACACCTTCCCAACAGCTGGAGAAGTAGCATACTTCGTGCAGTCACACACTTGTTTACATTTGTTCCCTGAATGCTGCTTCAGAGACTTAAAATGGTCAGAGATCCTAGAAGACATATGCCTTGCACTGGATCCCTGACAAATTACATTATGTATTGCTTTTTAGGACAATGTTTAAAAAAAAAAATGTGGTGTTAGAATTTGGGCAGAGGAAAAGAAAAATACTGTAAAAAATACTATTGCTGCTTCTTAGTGTTTGGCACTGTAACATCAAAATTTGAGCCATCCGAATGACGCATTTAGTGAAGGGAGAGGGAAGGAAGGACAGCAAAAAATTCTCATGGCTCAAACAACTTTCCTTTTTCCCCCTATGTTTTCTGACAGAATTAAAAATCCAGCAGGAAATTAAAACTACACACCTGACAAAGAACTGCTTAGATGTGATGATGTGTGATTATAGATGACTCATTCCTGCTCTGGAAGACTGGTCTCCTTTAGAGATTCTAGAAAAGCTCTGTTTTCTTTCCTTAATTTTTTCCCCCCAAAAGATATTTTCCAATTTCATTATCTAGGTATGATCTATAGAAAGTATTATCATACAAAATAGGAAACTCAACAAGCTTCTTTTAATTCTGTTTCCTAGCTAGTCAAGTGATTATGAATTTATATGCGAGGTTTTTAAATTAAAATATTTTAATACCCTGTTTTCCAAGCCTACAGAAAGAATTGCTTCCTATGTGRCTGGGTACTGTGTTTTTAAACTTGTGTGGAGATAGCTGGGCACTGCTGAAAGAAAATCAATGTAATGATAACATTGCAAGCAACACAATACTACTTAACCCTTACATGGCTCCTGCATAAAAGTCTGCAGTGCCTTCACAGTGACTGAAGTGATTATTTTTCATAACACCCCTAAGATGCAGGGAACAGCTGCACAGTGTACTCAGTAAAGGATGGAATCCCGCAGGTGATTACCTCTGGTGCAGAGGACTACCACTGCTTAAAGGCTTCATCAATAATAAACAGTTTAAACAGTAACTTTCTATCATTGAAAGTATCAAGGGATTTGAGTTTTCAGCATGTTGTTCCTGAGCTGGGATTTATCCAAGATATCCAGGCTAAGGGGCAAACTGTGACTTGCAGAAAAACTGCTATGAGTGTTAAATTATCAAAAAGGGGGCACAGTAGGCCCAACAGTAGGCCCCATCAAAGGATTAGACCTGCAACATCAGGGTGCTCCTTAATAAACCCCCAACAGAGTATTGACTCAGTACAGACTTAAAAGGAAGACTGCAGTCTAGTGAATCACCAGCACTGTTTATTGCAGACTGAGTGTAATGCCACTTCACTTGAAGGATTTGACATGATGAGAACATAAAGTGTCGAGATTTTCAGCCTACAAGCACCAAGGACTTATGCTTTCAGGAAACACTTTTAAAATACTGTACTTAATTTACAGGGACTATATTCAACTCACAGACATACTGGGCAGTCATTACCATGGTGAGTGGTGCACCTACAGGACTAAGAAAACCCTGCACACATTATTGTGAGATGTCTTATTAACTGCCTGCAACATTAAACAACTTGAATGGTTCAGAGTAGAGGGTTTTTGGTTTTTTTTTCTGCTCGGGTGCATTGTTTATTTGTTTTTGAAAGTTTAAGGTATTTCCAAGATTGAGATTGGTAAGAATATTTTTTCCACCTTAAAAGGTAAGGTGTTTGACTGAGAAACTCTCTGTTGTATTCTATCCATTATTTGTCATTGATTTTTCACTTCTAATAATAATTAGTCCATATTTTTATTCTTTTTAGTATCTTTTTCCTCTGGCAGAGAGTTTAAGACACAGATGTGTCTTTAGGACACTTGCACTCCTTAGAGCTGTTTCAATCTGCTGCAGGTTCTCCAGGCACTGCTCCTTCCTCACCTGGATTCCTGACGAGTATTTCCAGGTCCCAGGTCCTGACAAGGCTCAGGGGTGATGCTCAGGTGTCCCGGAGCTCAGGATCTAACAGCTGGATCTAACACTCACCTGTAATTACCTCAGTCACCAACCCTGCCACCTCGTGGAATATTGTTCTGAAACACAGAGTATATTGTTGTTTTTGTAAAAATCAGTAACAGCTAACCCAAACTCTTCATGTTTATGTTACTGTAAGTAGTAACTCATAAATCTCATAGCAAAATTCTCACATGTTCTTGACCATGTTCCAGTAAATGGCCTGGACTTGACAGCCTCCWTGTCCAAGGAGCAGCTATCTGCTGGCCCCTCTAAATTTTGCTAGCAAACATCTTTTTTTTCTCCTGGAAGAACAGGTTGGTTTTTCTCCTGTGAATAGGTTGGACCAAAACACAGACGAGGAACTGGAGATAGGAGATGTACAGAAGAGAAAACAGAGCARAGGACAATGATGAGAGCTAGAACCTGGAACAAGTAATTTGAAACAGGAAATCTGTAAGGAAAAGAAAACAAGAGAGTGGGAAGTTTAAAAGAGGAGGGATTAAGGAATGAAAAATAAGCCAGCTTCTTTTCAATAGCAAGAGAATGGGAAGTGTCTTAGGTATGGTGACAGAGGTAGGCAGTGGAGAGAAAGGATGAAATTAAGTAGGTAAGAGTCAAGAACTGGGGACATGAATATTAGTATAACAAAACTTCCTGAAATGGCAACTTGTGATACAGCTCAGTAAATATTCWTCCCTTAGATTTTAACAGTTTTTCTCCCCATCAAACTTGCGTAAGTAAGGCTTTGCTAAAAGCTTGGTAAGACACCTAAGATATGAACTCAGATTTTAGGAAATGACAGAATCAACAGAGACTGTTCCTGTCAGATTTTATCTGCTTTGGACATTTTTTTTCTTATGTTGCAATGAATGACTTATATTAAATCTGGGCAGTTATCTAGGAGGAGAGAAGTAAATCTACAGCTATTAAAAAAAAAAAAAAAACCAAAATGGAGAAGCTGAAATAGGAAGATCAAAGGAGGGGAAGATCAGTTGGAATGGGTGCAAGATTTGGAGCCATTTCTGTATTCTATTGTTGGTCACAATTGAGCCCAGTCTAATAAAGATTGAAAGCGATAGTCATCTGCTGGCATATGAAATGCTTCAAGTTTTGATAAAAAGCAAAGTAAAATTTTCTTGTTTTGACAGAAAACAGAGCTCTGGAAAAATACTCCATGGGTATGGAATATAAGTTTTATTGTGGAAAACTGGGACATTGTGAATACCATATGGTGAGAGCAGAAGTACAGACATCAAACCAAGTTTTCGCCAACTGGGCACACCTTCCAGGGGAAAAATGATGTTATTTTCAATGACCCCTTACTGGAAGGCTACAGGCCACCTCCCAGAGCTTGACACTACTGCTGGACCTGACACTATTGCAGGGCAACTGCAAACCCCTTGCAGTGATTGCTCAGAAGTTGCTGAAGTAGCATATTTGGTTTATTTCTTWGACCAAATAAAAGGTGTAAACTAGTCTGCTTTGCTAGAGCACTTCTTAAATTTGCAATAGCTTTGCTTGTAGACAACTCAGGAGATTTACAGATGCGTACAGAAACCAAAATCTGACAGCAAACTCCTCCCTCTTGTATCATCACCATTGCTGGGATACCTTTCAGCATCCTTAGGGAGATCATGTCTTTCCAGTCCTGCACTTGCTCCGCTCAGCCCTCTAATGTGGTTGGTGATTCGTCTCTTTTTGTTCTTCTTGAAGAGCCTGTCTCTTCAATGACAGCCTTTGATGTTCCTGTTTAAGATTCAAAGATACTGCCTTTTTCTACCATAAAAAACAAAGTTTTAAAGCAAAGCAGAGGTCATAGTAATAAATAGAGTTCATAAAATCAAACAAAATTAATTAAGTTTTATATAGTTTCTAATGCAATGAAATATCACTGATAGTTTAGGGATTTTTTGGTATATGTTTTTGAATTTACGTTTGAGATTTTTTTGGGGGAGAGGACTACTATATGTTTACACATTTTAGATAAAATGTGAATTGTTGCAGTCTCCATGAATCATTTCAAATGGTATTCATGGATTTATTACAGTCATTATGACAATAGTTTCAACTCTTTCAGATGTAGCGTTCCTTACTGCTGGAAGACATCATCACTGCAGTTGAGAGCATTTGTTTAGAGAGGAGAAATCTCCTAAAAATGTCATCCATTTTTTTTCTCCTTAGGAATTCCTCCAAATAATTTCTTTCTGTTTTCTGGAAGATTTACACAAACTCTGCAGTGGCACAACACTAAGAAAATAATGATAAGTAGATAGCCCCAGAATCTGCCATTTATTTATTTTATGGGGCAGATACTGACAGTTATGGACAAGAAAAAGTCTTTTCCTTCTAAAGCACTGAATTTTCCATTGTGGCAGCACTTTCAGACATAGGAAGTTGCAGTGCTCAAGGATTGAAATGGACTCTGTGCAGAGTGATGTGTCATTCACTGCCTTGGCTGTTGGGCTTATTCCCTCTCTGTTATTCCTAACATGCCATAGATTGTCCCTTTTGAATTTGAAAAATATAATAGACTCCCTGACTTGCATGAGTTTGAATGATCCAAAAATTCATTCCCCCGGTAGGGATTTTTAAATTGTAATGAAGAATCAAAAAAACCTCGCTGCATGCCAAGGAGCCTCCCAGATTTTCCTAAGCTCTTTCACTTATAAGGTAGGAAAGGGCAAAGAGTCCAGCTGTTAATGGAAATTATAGAGGAGAGCTAGAGCTTTGCCCAGCAGAACTGTTTGGGGTCTACACAGGCCAGTGAGCTGTAAACAAGTTTTAAAAATGCATGCTTAGAAAGGACTATACATGCATTATGTCACTGTATATATGTTCCTCTGAAAACACAAGCTTAAGATTTCAACCATTCTGATTGATATAATGACAATTTAGACCATGAGCTCAGGGAGGATGCTCAGGCAAGACAACATGGTTGTATATAGAAATTTCATGGTTAGAGTGACTAACAGTGAAATTTGGCTTGTAATTTTTACAGCAAAAGAAAACCTAGCTTTTTCAAAAAGCATCAGAAAGTGGAAATTCCATCTTTGAAGAGTCTGACACAATTGTGTGGGGTGTTGAGAACATATTAGCTATTAGCCATAGTTCTATTCAGAGCCTCACTCTATAAATGACATTGCAACTGCTTCATTCTGGAGAAAAGAAAGCGAAGATTTGTAATTCGTGCTGTAGGATTCACAGAAGAGAGCAGGACATAACAATCAAGCCTCAGCTTGCCTATTGCTTTGGGAAATGAAATAACTATTTAAGGCAAATGCTTTGAGGCATGTAAATGTTCAAGTTCAGACTATTTCTCAAACAGTATAGATTGAATATGTATAAATAACCAGTAACAGTTACACTGTAATATTAACCCCTGTAAAACTGTTATCCCAATGATGTCTCTGCTTGTCATCTTCCACGATATGCATTTCAGGATTTGGGCTGGGAATTAGAACCATGGAGAGTATGAGACAAGTTCTATACCTTCCCCAGCTCAACAAGATTCTAAGGGTGTTCTGTGGCCCTCAAGATCCACAGGGTAGAAAAAGGGAACCACAGAGATTCAACTGAGCACAGGAATTCACCTCTTTACCTGTTCATCAGACAGATCAGGGAACTGGTGAGGTGGGAAATGGGACAAACTGAGATCTGAGGAAGTGTCAAGGGCATATGGTAGAACAGACACAGGAAGAAATGGACAGGTGCCTGTTCCTCTGCCCGTGTCTTGGCTGATGATGAGAAGTGCAGCTGCCACCATCCACAGCCCTGCACCCACCAAACCAGTGGCACTAGAAACGTGCCCTTAGATGAGCCACAATTCAAAACTCACAGCTGGTAACAGCCAGTTGTATGAAACTTCTTCTACCGGCGTCAGTAGTTTAGACAAATGTTCTCTGCTGCATGACACAGGCAATGAGATTGACAAAGAAGGCGGTCTGGGGGAGACAACAGGAGGTGGGAAGCAGTCTAGAGATAGACATGGGGAGTGAGGCCTGGGAGAAGAAAGAGTGAAAAAGATGCACACTGGGCTAACTACCTGCAGCCTTTACTGTTGCCTTTACTGTTGCAACCTCTCCCTGTTGCCTTTACTGAGTGCACACACTGTTTGACAGATTCTCTAGCTAAATAATCAGTGCTATTTCCCCCTGACTTTACTTGTCCTTAGTTTTTAGCCTGAATAAGTACATTTGAGATGGCCTCTGCACTGAGAAGCATTATGTGAAACAAATTGCACACAGCCTACATAAGCACCCACCAACATTGAGGCAGTTAATTTCCTGCTTTTTAGATGTGGGTCTAAGGAGCAAGAATAATAAATSACAATGGGTGAAAGCAAATGAAAGAAAACTAAACAAATCTGTAAGTAGAGTGTCTTGGGGTGGCTTAGAAATACAGCTTTTAAGGCAGAACAATAAGTAAAGTGTTTTTTCACTTTGACCGTATTTCTGTTAGTTTTGTGCCAAATTCTGCAATTTTTCTGGCATTAACACAAAAAGGGATCACCTGCATCTACTTCAAAAATCTGAAAACACTTGTTTTAAAAATAAAGCCTTCCAACAGTAAGACATTTCTCTGCCATATGTATTGTTTTCCTTTATCAATTAACAGCCTGGGTTGGGAAAGGAATTTTTTGGGTTTGTTTGAGGATGTTTTCCTTCCCAGGGGAGTTTGGAATTTGAAAATAGAAAATCTTTAGGTAGGGATATATTCTATTTTTTAACAGTGAAATTGCATTCAGTTTTGACTGATGTGAGAATTATTTATAATAATTAATTTCCTTCAGCAATCTGTGTTGGGAAGGAAGGTTCTGCAGTGTATTAAAATTAATGTCTGAAAATGTTCTACAGAGGCTTGCTCACTAGTTTGATCAGCATCTCTTGCTCCAGTTGCATCACCTACTTTTTCCTAAAATATCTCTGGACTCAAAATGTATCACCAGTGCCACTGCCTAACTTTGCATAGGTCACCCCTCCCACTCCTTCTTATCTGCTGGGTGGAGAAAAATATACAGAGCCCCCTGGGATTACAGCTGGGACCAGCCCCCCTCCATGATGAGGAAAGTCATCATGGGGAGTTTTCAGATTCCTCACTTCTCTCTGTATGGGTGTTAAGTACAGGAGAAGCCTCAGAAGACTACTTGTTGGACTTGGTTCTTCTGCACCATCCCTTGGAACAGCAGACTTCTCCTTCATCAGCGCCTTAGGAGCTGTAAGATGTCTGTTCTGGAGGCATGTCGTCCAAATTCTCCTCACTCTGCGTGCTGGGTTTGCTATGAAAATGTACACCATACTTAAATTGAAAGGCCAGACTTCTGAAATACAGGATGTTCCACTAGTTAGCTTGTGTTTTTAATCTTAATTTGCATACAAATTTGTATTGATAGCTACAGTTCATAAAGCTTTCACCACAGAAGCCAGGTCTTGGTAAAAATACATACTGCACATGAAGGAAACAGAGCTCAAGTTTTCCAGACAATGATGGAAAAGGTATTTTCCAAGCTATTAATCTTCAAATCCTGTGGAGAAGCCAGGATTCCTGTGTAGATGCCGAAATCCCTAGGTGGTATGGAATAATGGAGGGTAAACATAAAACTGCTCATCACAGACGGATTTCAAAAAGGCTTTTGAGGCTGCTCACCCAAAAAGGCAGGACTGTTGCCAATACTAGGTCAGATCAGCCATGAGTGTGAGTAACTGCATCTTGAAAACCTAAAAACATAGTTGGAAATTTCAGAGTTCACCTGCACCGCTTGACAGGGCTACACTGCTAAGGTTTTCCCCCTAGTGAAAAGCTTTTCCTGAAGCCCTTCAAGTAGTCGTTGCCTGATATTATATCACGCCTAAGACTCTTCAGCAGTCTAAAGATCTCTCAGTATTTCCTTGTGGTGCAGTAGGTGGTCCAAAACTTGGCTCACTTTTTCACATGAAGCTTCCCAAGAGCCAGGCAGATGGGAAAAGCAACTTCCTCATATCTGTTAGGCAACTTCTTTCAACACAGGTTGATCTTCAGTTTACTTTATTCACAGGGGGAGAGAGTAGTCAATCTAGAGTCCCAAAAGAGTCTTCTTTTCAGCAGGACTACTACTAATTCTTTAATCACATATGATCTTATACTACCCCAAGAGCAGAAGTTTGCTTGTCTCCCTGTTAGACACCATGAAATTTCTGTTACCCCAGTTCTCCAGTTTATCAAAATCTCTGTGGATTCAAGTCATGACATTCATTGAGCAAGTAACTCACTCTAATTCAGCATTGATAACTTTGCAGGTGGTACATCCTAGGTCACCACCTCGGCCATGGATTAAGATATCAAACAGCCATTAGACTGCTCTGTTCACTGCTGGCCAACAAGCAGATGCTGAGCTACTCACTGATAAATTTTAAGCCCAGAGGTACTGCTAATTTTTAGTCCATCTAAACATCATTTCTTCCAGTTCACAGTTCCTCAGCTTCCAGCTGGCTGGGTATGGAGTCAATTTGTCCCTGGTAAATCCAGGGATTGCTGATTACAACTGTAAAGTTTTTGTTCTTCACATGCTTACAAATGCATCCTAAAAAGACAGGCTGTGTGATTTTTCCAAGGTCTCAGGTGAGCCTGGCTGACCTATAAGTCCCAGCCCCTTCCTATTTTTTAGAAATGGTTCCTCGTTCCACTGGGCAAACCATCGAGGGAAACGTGTGTTTTGTCTGTGAAGGGCAAATCATCCTGGAATTGTTTTACCATGACAGAAGGGTCTGAGCCTAGGAAAGCACCATGATCATGGCAGCATAGAGTTAGCTCTTTCTGCTCCTTGAAAATTTGGAGGAGATAGTGTAAATCTCATGCCCGTATATGCAGAGATATTTATCCCAGCTGACTGTGTAATTTGTGTGCTATCATACCAGGTTTTGGCTTCTCCCTTAGACACCTGAATTAGGGGGACAATTCACCACATACACAATAATTCCTCTAATAAATAATCCAAAACTCTCATCTTAATCAACATTTTAGCATTTCCTTCTGTGTTTTTCCCTCTTGGGGGTATAACGGTAATAAAGGAATCTGACTCAGTCCCCTGAGTTAAGAAATTGCTCCCTTAGGCAGTGTGACTCGTCCTACTGAGTTCAACTGGAAATTTATTTGGTTGCATAAAACAGAAAAATATGATTCATATACTGTTAATACTCAGCTGCATGTTTGCAATTTGAGCATTTAATGAATTTCAGTTCAACAAATTAATTGCCAGTTCAGCCTGCAAATGTTTCAGAGGTCCTTGGGAATAAGAGAGAACACAATCCCATTCCCTCATCTGCATGGATCAGCACATGACCTCTGCAGCTAAGACTGTCTTAAGAAAAATGCTTTGTCTGTTTAGAATAGCAATCACCAAGACAGCAAAACCATTCCATGAGTGAGGCCGCTTGCTAAAGATGCTTTTGCTATTTATTTCTGGGCATTAATGCAAAGATCATTCAAATTTCATCCAAGGTAATCAACCCTCTACTTGAAAACAGCAACAGAGCCATGAAGTTTTGAAACTTAGACAGCCATTTAAATGGCTGTTTTAGGAAAATATTTGAAGATTGATTGTTTTACAGGTAGTTGCACTTGGAAGTGCTTTAGTAGTTGTGGACTTTGTTTTTACATCTAGTGCATTGTGGAAAACTTCTGGCTCACTAGAGGCTTCCTGCAATGCAGGCAGGCGCTGAACTGCTCATCCTTGAGCCTTTGGCTTAAGTGGCAGGATGGGGAATATCCTCACAGAGAGAACGGGCAGCAGCAGCAGGCTGTGTTTGGAAAAGCTACATTTCAAGACTGTGAACGCTGACAGAACAAACTCCAGAATCCTCTCCCCCTGGATTTAGTTGTTTCTAAACCACAACCTTAACAACTTCCTCCTGCCTCATAAGTGATGCTGCTGCAAGTGATAACGAACACGAAATGCTAATAGAGATTTTTGGAGAGTGTCACTGAAAGGCCAAATTAAAGCTTTAGGAGAAGCATTGTGAGGCTTTGTACATCCCAGGTTTGTGACTGTGGATGCCGTTAAGAGAAACGTAGGAAAAATCCATCCCAGCAAGGATGACACTGGAATGGGGTTAATTGAGGGCATGGATCACGAAAATATTGCCAGCTCTTGTCACTTGTTACAAGTTGTTGATTTATATGGGAAATGAGAGCTACAAAGGTGTGTTTGTGGATAAGTATTCATGTTTCTCTCTTGGTATAAAGGGCTGAGAATAGAGGTGAAAAAGCCAAAGAATGAGAAGAATACAAAAGATACCCACACATCTAGTGAATATTATCTTGTTCAGTAAGTGACATGCTCATTTCCCTTTTGAGCATACATACTGTGGCCCTGCTGAAGTTTATTATCAAGTAAATTAAACTGGAACCTTTGGTATCTCAGTCTAGAGAATAAATTCATTTCATTATTTTTAATAGAAAATTGATTTTATTTTTAAAAAAATAGTCAAGTGGAATGATGCATGCTGTCTATGCAGTATTTCAGGTGCTTTGTCATGCAACTTCTCATCTCTACATGAAGTTGCTTGGAAACTAAAGCAAAATAGCAAAAAAAAAAATCTTAAAAGCTTGTCACTTTCACTGTAAATTAACTGTCTCTTTAAATAAAGTGAAGTGATGGGTGCAGGAAGAAATATGCTAACGTTGCCCTGTGTCTCTGAGCTACTCCTGAAAACAAAGTTCTGCTTTACTCACTGTGCTTATTTCAAAATCATACAGCAATGTGTTCACAAAACTGTGTTCTAAAACTTTAGATTCTGTGTATGGGACTTCAGAAAAGAACAATAAAAAATGTGCCTCCGATTCCAAAAGACAATAGTTTGATCATTGAGAGTTCATGGTCTTTATGCAGTGGAGTTTCATTTTTATATGTGTGCTAGAGTTAGAAAACCAAAAGATTTAGACATGAGTATTCAAACCAGCAATTGTAGTTTTCTCTTTTTCGAAGCCTGACTGCAAGGCATGTGCTGTTGTCTTGGTAATTTATATCTATATTTCTCAGAGCGCCTCAAGTAATTATATTTTTTATTAATTTATTTGAACTAGAGTAATGTATGCTAGGGAAGACAGTAAAAGATTTGGCATAGAGGAGATGTCAGTTATTTAGCTGTTGTGACATTCAATCTTCTTTACTCTTTCCAAACCTGCCATTAGCAGGTTACAATGAACTTGACTCCCTAAAACCTATAAAATCTCAGTAATTCCTTAAAATCAAATAATTTTGCAAATTCCTCAATAGGTTATGCAAGAGAATTTCTCCGAAAAATTAACTTAAATAGTCCTTGAAAACAGAACACTGAATGATTAAGCTTTTGTCAGGTAGTGGTTTGGGGTTTTGTGTTGTTTTGGTTTCCTTTTTTTTCAAAAAATGTATTATTTCCTAAGAAATAAAGAGTTTTTTTCTGCTGCCATTGCTGAACTGACTGATGGCTCTGTGTGGGTGCTGCTTATTGTGGTTATGCAAAAGAAATCATGAGTCACAAGCAAGTGGAAGAAAGCAGTTGCTGTAGGCACAGCCACCAACCCTGGGAATGGCAGAGTGCTGCAGGCGTGGGGAGAGCAGCAGCTCTCTCCCATTTTGGCTCCTCACTTTTCCTGCAGTGTTGCATTTGACATGTCATTTAAACAGTACAGAGAATGGCTGCAAAACAGGAGGAGCTGGGACTGAACTAGGAGAAAAGACGAAAATAGGATGGATTAAGCAAAATACAGAAACAGAAACAGAGAAACATACTAGTAATGATAAAAGAGTTATAGTGAAATTCGATTAGGGACCAGTTTATTACAACCCCCAAACAYAGACTGTGATTTGCCCACCTGCAGCAGCTATGATGAAGGATAATGTTTTCCCATCTCCTTTTCATTCAAGTGAGACAAACAGGATCAGCAGTAAAGCTGCCTTTGGAACAAGTTTCTCATTCCACTAATCCATCAGCGTTATCTCCTGAGCTGCTTCCTTCTCCTGTGAGCCTGCAGCAGATGTAGTTAACATTGAAAAAAAAAAAAAGTGGAAATCACTTTTCAAGTCATTTCAGTCTGTACCACAAGATTACTTCAGAAATGCAGCACTGACCACTTGCACTGTCTGAGACCCTCCATCTGAGACCCTCCTCTGAGCCTCTCCCTCCATCCTGATTCATGATCAGTGAGGTATCAGCAACAAGAGGTGTTGGCAGAAGACAGAAAAGAATTTCCAAAACCTCAAAACAAATTAAAAAATGAGCAGCCAGAGGTATGTTATCAAAATAAAAGGCAATAGGGTTAGAAGAGGAAATAGCAACATATTAATCTTGCGGTCATAAAGATGTGTAAGTAAAAGATCAGTGACCAAGAAAGAAATTATTACTCTCACAGTTGTTGAATGAAGACACAGAATGAATAAATAAATAAATGGGGTGTTGATTAGTGCTATGATTTTGATGAGGTGTTTAACTGCTACGAATATGGCTGTCCTAGGATGTGTGAAGATCCTTGGCATTGCAAAAGGATGCAGCTGTCCTCTGTTTCTCAGTTAATACACCAAGAAACTGTCCTTCAACCCAAGTTTACTTCACCACTGCTGATCTTGCTGTGAAACAAAAAGCAGTGATTAAAGTGTGGCTCTGTTTCTCAGTTCTAGGCCTGGGTACCATGGATCTAGAAACTTAACAGAAGCAATGACATTGATTCATTGAAGTACCTTAAAGAAATCAATCACCTTCTGGATGTTGGTTTCTATCTCTGTTTGTTGTGAGCAATCATCAACACCTATGTTTATCTCTCTGCACATCATCTGATAGCATTGATTAAGAAGGGTGATGCTATCTGGTATTGCGAACAAATATTTGGGTGTAATTTTTTTGTCATTGCAAGAAATACAAGTTTCTATGGATAGAACTATCTCATATTTTGTATTCAAATTCATCAAGGTCTCTTCATTTATTAAAAAAGTAGCATTGGCAGATCTATATAGCAAAAGTTTACTTAATAAATGGAGAGGGGAAAAATCCCTTTTGGTGCAGAAATCAATTGGATACCATGCTGTTGCAAATAATCCCCAGACGGAGGTTTTTATTCTGCGCTGCTTGTGGCTAGCTCCTACTCCAGACAGTAACTGATAGCTTGCGGTTTGGCCTTGATTTTCTGGGATAGCAGAACAGTGCTTCAAGCAAATTTGAACCAGAAGGAAGAGGGATTAAGACACTGAAGCATATCCCTGATCCTCAGGTAACAAATGCTAGCCTGTGTCTGTGAAACACATTAAAGGAGCTTCAGGGCTGCTGTCACTCATGCTGACTGCCTGCTCCGGAAGTGCCACTGGGGCTACTGGAGACAAGATGAATGGACTGACTCTTCAGCAATTTCTGGTGGCTCAGCTTTGGAGTGGTGGCATGGTGCAGAAGTAACTGTGGCTCTTTTATGACACAGTGACAAGCTGGTTGCTTATTAAGCCAGTAAAAACTGGAAACTGAGGCTTATTATCTTTCTGTGGAAGTTTGAATGCACTCGTTGGATTTTGGTTTAACAAAAGTGCCAGTGTACACAAAATTTCAAATTTGAATATTCCTGAAAAACAAAGCAGATGCTTTTTCTTTACCCTTCAAAGACTAGCTGCCAAATTTAACTCTCTTTTGTGATGAAATATGTGCCACCAACATTCTCTCTGTCACTATAATCTTTAGCTTTATTAATTAATGTCCATCTGGGCTGTTATGTGAGGAGCTGATGACCAGAGTATGAATTCTTTCCACAACCCTTTGCTCAGAAGGGTCATCAAGAAGATCTAACTATGTCCTGTGTAACATTCTCCCAAGAACAACACTTTGTACAGAAAACATTACTTTTTGCGTTTTCTGACAGCACTTTTCTTTATTAAATTATCCTCCTAATTGCTGCCAAAAGCAGAGGTCTGCTATTAACAGAAGGCATATGCAGAGCCCAGAAGGCAGGGTGCCCTGCATGCTTTGGGCAGCCTCACTTTCTATTCTTAAATGATTCCTTTAATCCTCCAAACCTTCTCAAAGCCAGGTTTTCTCTTTTACTGCAAATGGAGCATTTTGAGATAAATATGAGCTAGAAAAAATTGAAGTACTTTAATGCCCACATCCACCAGACTAATTTTTATGGCATGGCAATGTTTGACAGATCAAAAAGTTGTTGGTTTTTCTAAGATCTCAAGAAATGAAAGGAAATAAGCTTATAACAAACCTTGTCTCCGAAACTGCAGGCTGCTTGTGAGATGGACAACACAGAAAGTGCTCTATGCTGAAAGACTGTGAATTCTAGGAAAACAGGCATGTGAAACTCAGTAAGGAATAAAGACAAAACTAATGCAGCATTTCAGTCTCTTTTTCCAACCCATAAATGTTTCCATTTATAAACTTATTTACGTAGGTGTTGATCTCCTATAGTTTTCACAAATTGACACACAGAATATTGCTGTGCAGATGGGACAAATAACCAGATAAGTAGCAACAGAAGTGACTAAAAGCCTTAATCATCATAGGGCAAAGAATATTTTCTTCATCCTTGCATATATCTGGGCACCACATATTTTTATTTTTTTTATTATTTTTACTTTTATTTTTATTTTTTTAATATATATGGGCTGTAAGAAAAAACAATCGTGATATTCACAGCTCTGTATAACAGTCTTTATTGTTCTCTGATTTCTGCATGCAGGTTTTGCTACGTAGCTTGCACTATGGTTTGTTTCTACATAATTTTAGGCTGTGTTTCCATCATTCCAAATGTGCAGTAGCACATAGACTTCCAATCTGCCAGGTTCTTCTTTTTCTTTTCTCTCTCCTCTATGAATTAACATTCCAGGCAAGTATCTTTGTCTCAAACAGAAAATGTAAGAAATTTCCCTCTGTGTGGGGAAATTAAATTCTTGTTATATGGCCAAAAATAAAAAAAATTACTTTTTTCTTTATTATTTTTCAATCATATTTAAAAAGCAGTGATAATCCATGCACAATGGATTGCAATGTGTCTCTCTTCCCAGATTTATAAATAGGAATTTATAATGAAAAAGTATAAGGTATAGCGATCTCAGACATATGGTCCTAATCAACAATGCATTAACCAGCAGTACTGAAAAATGCATCTGAAGAGATATCTTTATTTTGTTGCAAAATTTTACTCCTGGTGTCCCCGCAGTCACTCAATAGCTTCATCAGTAAAGCAAACGGTGACCAAAATTTCATGGATGTGTGATCTATTGTGGTCATTTCCCTGAACATAAATAATTAAATATTACATAAGCCATTAATTGTCAGGGATGTTTGGGTTTTTTTTTTCTCAGTTAAAAAGCCATAGAAATCTGGGATTTCCTGCTTGAGAGTGTAATGCAACAAGATATTAGTTGCTAGAAAGACTGTTGCATGGAGACCTAATACATCTGGTAAGCATCTCTGTCCAACCACATCCGAAACACTTCCCTTGTCTGGGGAGCTGATGTCTGAACAGTGCCCTTCTGCTTCAGAGTTTGGGGTCTGACATTATAAATGGGGCTTATTCTTTGCAGCCGCCATCTTTCAGTCTCCAGAGTTAGCAACAAACCCTTCCAGGCATATTTGCTGGGAAACAGGGCATTCAGAGTCAGTCTTTGTTCATTTGAAAATGGAATTAATTAGGCAATGTGCTCTGCATGCTTGCCCCAAAGGCTAGCATTATTGCTGTTTAACCAATGACTGTCATTTACTGAAATACCAAACCACATATTTAATTTTAATGTTACTGTCACATCTGAATTGATAAGTTAGGTATGCAAATTTGGTTTCAAATGAGAAATTGAATGGCTAATCAGCTGATCACTGCACTCATAGTATGTCATTAGCATTCTTGGTCTTACGTTATTATTTATCTTTGACTACTGGGTAGTTTTACTCTCACAGCATGTTATTTAATCCAGCTGCTATTTTTCTAGTTATATTTAATTAAAATTTGGGGGGAAAAACCCACCAATTCCAACAGAAACAAAATTACTATTTTAAAATAGCCTGGTATATAACTTACAAAGGTAGAAACGATGCCAGATAAATATATCAGATATCATACATCCACCTTCAGCACACAGGACATTCTATTGAATTAGAACTTTTGTATTTGCCATTGAGTGCTAGATTTATATGAATGGGGTAAACCAAATCAAAGACAGTAAATACTTGATTTTTTTTTTACTTTTCCAGGATTTATGCTTTGGATTGGTTTCCATGTTTTGAGAATTCATCATACTGCCCATTTACCAGCTGGTTTATTGAAGTGATAACAAGTTTCTCCTGAAGCATATTAGGGGAGGTTTTTCTTATATGCAACTCTTTAGTTTGATCTTCAAGTTCGAATACTCAGATGATCACTCTCTGTGGAAAGCAGATTGTTGAATTTTTTTCCCTGTAAATTATTTTCTTCTATTAGGAATTTGGAAGAATGCTAAGAAGAATGTTTCGGGCTCTTATAAGCCACTAAGAGCTTCCCTTTTTTAAAGAGGGAGATCAGAGTAGAGAAAGTTTGGAGGGAATATACATTGTCAAAACAATCTTTTTGCCTTTCACTCCAGTAGTCCTTGGTTTGGAGTCAAATTTTACATTTAGTGAGGAGCAACTTCTTTACACATGAAAACCCACACACACTTGATAAGTCAATGTAGACAGATCACACATCTCAAAATTTCAGAATATAAATGCCCTGAAAGTGTCATTTTCTCTGAATGTGGAGTGGAGAGAGATATCTTCCTGCCACAGCAGCTCTGTGCTGCTGTGACTGTACATGGTCTACACCCCCACAATGGATGAGCTGTATGCTTCTACCATTCTCTTCCTGCTCCTTGATCCAGCAGTTTGCAAGACTAAGCTAACCASATATTGTGCACAGATGTTATGTACAATGACAAGGCAGAGCTGAGACAAAGATACTGGAAAGGTGCATGGCAAACAAAGTGAGAAACTTAGACTGTGAGTTGGACTGGGGGGCAAAATTGGGAATTTGAACAGAGCTTCTGTCAGAGACTTTTAAATCTTTTCAGACAAGATCAGGAACCTCTGARAGAGTAATCAATGCTCTTGGTCTCTCAAGATGCTTGCAGAGTGATCTAGGAACTAGTGAGACTTGAAAAAAGGAGAAATGGGTCTGAAAAGAAACTTCAGTGCCAGCAGGACTTCTTAGGTGGTGATAGTGGGGAGCAAAGCTGAAGGAGATAACTAGAACAGATGAAGAGTTTAGAAGACAACTGAATACCCAGAGCTACCAGAAAGGGAAAATGAGACTCGTTAACAAGACTAGTGGGTGAGAGAGAGAGAAGGCAATGTGGCAGTGAGTGGGCAGCAGTGCAGAAAAGTAGAGGAGGGCTGGTTATGCAAAAGAACCAGGAGTAGGATGAGAAATTAGAGTACTTCTCTGGGACTAATGAAGTGAGAGGATGTGTTTTAAGAGCAACCAGGAGTAGAGCAGGGGCAGCTGAGGAGCATGGGTGCACACCGAATCAAGCAGGACAAGGTGGGGAGCAAAACACCAAAGCCTGTTCCCAGTAAATCACATTTTTTTATAGAGCCTGGGGCTGGCCCTGGGTTCCAGGGTCTCTTGCCATACTATTGTTTCCAATAAAGGCCAGGTGTCCATGAATTTGCAACAGATGTTACCCATGTCAGTTTTCTCTATTTAGACAGGATAATAATGAGGATATGGCAGTTTGATCTCCTTTAGGCATGATTGTAGCTTGTCAGAGACCCAGGAAGGGCTCTATTCATACCAAGACCTCTGACACCATGTATACATAAGGGTTAAATGAAAGCTCATTGTTACAAAACATTACAGTACATAAATATACTGCAGTGCATTTCACACTGGTGTCTGTTTGATACACACTGCTTTTGCTGTTTGTGATAGACGGTACTAGCTGTCAGACCCAAAATCATCATAACTGTGTAAGAAGTCAAAAGTGGGGTCCAGTTCTGATCTGGATGAGAGCTGTCACAGATTCAGTTGAAATTGTTGAGAATTTAACTACAATAAAAGAGGGAACACCACAGTGATATGCACAAAAACATATTGGTTGCAATAAACCCCTCAGATATCTGGATGTGGTGGGACAGGCTGGTGTCAACCTGAACACCATGGTGAACTTTGCCTCTTTTCCACACTCTGACAGTGAACCTCACCCTTAGCCCCACACACCTATGTCTGCGACAGTAATTTTCCTACTCCAGCTAATCTTGTAAATCTTGACAGCACTGAAGATCTGCCTATCTATCTTAAATCTAAATATTGTCAAGATTCACGAATTGTCATTCTTTTGCCCATCTTTTTTTTACCAGGTAGCTATTTCAGAGACTATTAGATTAAGCTTTGCACAACACAGGAGGCCACTGGCAAAGGCTTTGCCACCAGTAGTTTTCCAGAATTCCAGTCTTTAGGATATCCACTTAGGTGTAGGAAACTCAGCTTAAACTATTAAATCAGGTGCTGTACTGTAATGGGTTATAATACAATATAAAGAGTTGCAGAAAAAACAGTAATTTCTACTGAATCTTCTCCTTTCTGACTAAAATAGTTTAAAAAATCAGTTGAAGTAGTATCCAAACTTGTTCCCTTGGTTTTGCACCTACTACCCATAAATGCATGCCCATGAATGCCCATCTTTAAAGTCTGAAACTTTTTCTGATTCCCTTGTTAAAAAAATACATTTTTATTTCACACAAGGGGAAATAGGTTCCACTGAGGTTGTATGAATCAGCAAATCCATGAATTCTGCTCTTAGATATTGTGAAGGGAACATGAGGCTATAGAAACCTACAAATGGACTGGGTCCAGTATAAGGAGTCTAGGCTGTTGGTCTATCCAGCTTTAAGCCAGTGCTTTGCTTTGCACTGACAGTCAGTGTTTTCAACCCTTGGCTTCCAGAGCCTGGCCTGGGACATGAGGTTTGATTTCCAGGAGCATCACATGCAATTCAGTGTAACTGATGCAGTAGCAGCTACACTTGTGGTGCATATGGTAGTGCATAAATCTGAGTATTTTGAACATTTAGGCTCTGGGGGTTCAGACTGAGCACCCAAACATTGTGAGGGCTCCACGTCTGGGCTCTTTGGCTGTCAGAGGGAATTAACACCACTCCTGGCCCAGAGCACAGTGTGCATGAAACATCCAAATTGTATTTTGAAGAGCACCAGAGAAAAACCTTCAAGGAGATTAAACTTCAGAAGAGTTTGTTTTATGTGTAGTGCCTGAAACCAAAACCTGAAAATGAGGAGAAGGCAAAATAGTCACAGTCAGCTCATTAAGGGGGGATAGGAAAAAAAAAAGAGTATAGAATGATTAAATTAGATAATATAGAGTCTTCTAGATGTGCATGATATTGAGTACTCTAGCATTAATTCCTTCATTTCTGAATTTTTGAGTGTTAGACTTCATGATCCTTTAATGTAGTTCTGTATTTATTTTTTTATATATGAGCTGAAATCTGACGATGGCAAGCTTTTTCAATTATTATCCCTTTATTTCCTCTCAATGTAACCTAGTATTTTTTTTTAATATATGCCTAAGGGAAATGTTGGTTGTTTCAGTGGTTGTGTAAGTTAAAACTGTAGCATACAATATAGTGCAAAGGACAATTCTATAGTGATAAGTCAGAGGACCGTATGACTTCAAAGAGATTTTTCTATTTGTGCTTTGTGTGGTTCTGGAAAAGGGAGTTAGCTTTTCTCTGTGTTATACTGCTGCTCTGCCTCAGGGAAAGACTGGACTTGGACAGGATAAATTAATTTTCATTTGGACTGTGTCTCTGTCCCTTTCTCCTGGCACTACATTTGAAGTTGCTGTGTTGTGTGATCTGTAAGACATGTGATGCAGAAAGTCACTCAGCTCTGCTCCCATTAGCACAACTGTGTACAATACAGATGGTACGAGGGATTATGGAGATACTATCTAACCAGTAAAGAGAAGAAAAGCATCCAGTCTTTAACAAAATGGTTGTATCGGTGGGAGTGGAGAAACATTTGATCAGCTTGGACAAGGTAACACTTAGCAAAAAGCTTAAGGATTAACTTCTAAACTCTAGGTGGTGTGGAGAAAGGAAAAAGGAAAATGCTTATCTTCTGAAATCAAATGCATTTTCTTTCCAGGTCACCAAACATCCGCACACAGAAAAAATCTTCCTTTGGCTAACATGCATTGCCTGACTCCAGAAATAGTGTCCTAAATGAGGTTAGTCAGAGAGAATTGGGTTTCCCAAAATTTAACCCTGCCTACTCGTTGTCTTTGGAGGTAAGACACGAAACTGAGACCATCTCAATTTGTATGATGATGTATGACTGGTTTTTTTACCCGTTCCCTTCCCTTCCCTTCCCTTCCCTTCCCTTCCCTTCCCTTCCCTTCCCTTCCCTTCCCTTCCCTTCCCTTCCCTTCCCTGCCCGGAACTTCCATTCCCAGAACTTCCCTTCCCCTCCATCTTCAGGTGCCATACCCCTTCAGTTGCAGTCTCCCTTTGGCACGTGTCTGGACCCTTTTTTCCTCCATAAATTCAGCACATTCAGGTTTTTGTCCAGTTGGCAGGATTGCTGATGTGCCTGGAGTCAACTGGAGGAAAAAAATAGTTGCTGTAAGAACAGGATAACTAGCAAGGGATAATCTTGGCAAAAATGATTTCTATTATCATTGTGAAATTTGGGAAGACTTCTTTGATTAACTGTTCTAGAAATAATATATTTCCAAACTGCAGCAATGTGTGTAATGCCTACTCAAGTTAAGTTTTGGAAAGCACTTATCATTCTGATGCTGTTTTCAGATTCTTGTAGCTTTACGGAAGCATTTAAATTTCATTCTTCACCCCTGCTTAGCTGATGATAGCTAAAAACTTTCTCAATGCCTCATGCTGTTGATCATGCAGAGGCATGTGGTATTGTGGAAAAAACAGTGTTCTACAACTTGGGAAGAAAAGTTGGAAATTTAACCACTTTAATAGACACAGACTGTTTGTTCTTATCCTCTATTAAAGAAATACCCTACATATTACGACTATCTACTGTTGGGGGTATCTACTTGCTAATAGCAGATTGAGAGTCTAATTGTCCTATCCACACCTCAATTGTTCTGATCCMTCTTACAACAGCATAAAACTTGTCTGTACAAAAGCAGTGTTACAAAGACGAACCTAATGAAACAAAAATGTCATTTCTATTCTGGAAAGACTCCACAATCTTCCGCAAAAGCTGCCTCGTGGCCTTCATCGTTCCTTCATCCCAAGGCACACACTTCCCTGACCTTTATCTTCAAACTCTCTGCCATGTAGTAGCTGAATATAAATATCTTCTCTGCCTTTTCTTCATCTTCCTGAAGTGGGAAGAGAGGAAACGAAACAATTTCCCCTGAATGGACCAGCCAAAAAGGTGTTTATCATATTTACACACGTCTAATGTGTGGCTTTGAACAGCTCGTTTCTTGTTTTGAGTCTAGAAGAAAAATGTCTATAAACCCTCTGCAAACTTACTTTGATATTGCAGCTGATAACAAAGAAATCTATGCAAGAGAGAAACACACTTCTGCAGTCGTTCCAAAAGTATATTCTGTCTGCCAGTCTAGTTCAGACTGCTCCATATCAATATTTTGGAGGCTACCTGATCTAACAAAATCCAAAGCAGTCACTTCTGAAGTGCTTCCCTGTTGTTTAACAAGTGCTGTCCTTGGTCACGGCAACAAGAAGTTTCTCCTGCACCAGGTAACATGAAACTAATTTGAAAAATGATCTGCCACTTGTGTTTGTGGGACAAATTTATGAGAGCTTTGTCACAGTCAGTAGGGAAGATTAATGGAASCTGCAACCTGAGTCAATTGGTGTTGAAACACACCAAAACAATTAAATAAATGGAAACATTTAACAGACCCTGTATCAATAAATACAGATGAATATTAACACAGACCTATAAGATCTAGAGTGGGGTGAAATGAAATAATGTAGAGAACAGAAAATGCTTAGATGGGAAACTTCATTGCATTTCTGCTGCTGATCATCCAGAAGAATTTGGCACCGAAAGAAAAACTGTGATAGCACTTGTATAGATAAGATGGAACTGTATTATTATTTTTCCATAATATATCTGTTCTGCATTTTTATCATATATTTCAGGTGCAATCTTCACATGGCTTTTGCATTTTTTGGGTTTGTGTTATTTATTGACTCCTAATAGATAATGCAGATGAATTCTTGTGTTTAATTATATGATCAAGGCAAAGTTCATGATTGGATTTTGCAATGTACAGCTTCGAAACACCATAGGATAGTTAATATATATAAGCATTGGTTTTTCCCTTGGTCAATTATTCAGATGGGGCAATTCCATCTAACTGTGTATAATAAGACAATCCTTGTGACTGGGGAAGTTTCTCTAGATTAGAGAACTTTCTGAATTTTTTCAGAGAACTCTGAATTTTTTCAGAGATCCCATACAAAACTCAGATGACAAGGTTGTTGATGATTAGGCAAGTGCTAAGAGATGTTTAGGTTTAACTAATGCTGTATATTTTGTATGATGTATATTTTAAGAGCACGAAAAAGTACTGGGCAGTGCTTGAAGGTGACTGTGACAATAAGGAGTACTGTGGGGAAATACAAATACTGAGGATTAGTAAGTAGTATACAAAGATAGTGAAATTCTTACATCAAACGAAGTGGTGTTTAAAAACAATTTCTAGAGTGTGGTGTGGTGCAGGAAAGAGTATCTTTCTCAGATTATAAATTTTGCAGAATTTTGGAAAAAAAAATTAGTGATTATAAAAATCGTTGGGGTTTTTTTTTATCTTTCGAAAAGGGGAATACATATTCAGAATAAAAAACTGAATAATCTGTGTGTTTCTCCTCCATTTCCTGGCCACAGCAGTAGCAACTGAGACACACACACACACACACACGCACGCACGCACGCACACACACGCACGCACACACATAAGATTTTGAAAAAATATGAAATTTTCTTAAGAACGTGATTTCTGCATGGCAACCAGTTGTCTTTGGGGTGCAGCTTTCTTTCATAAGGGAACACTGCTGGAAGTGGTCTAAAAAAGATTCCTTCTATAGAATCTTAACTGAATTAAAGTGTCCTTCTGAGCTGGAATGTGTCCCTGAAAGACAGAAGAAACAGAAGAGAACATCATGCAGTTAAATTCACCTTGCTGTATCTCAGCTTCACCAAGTTGGTGGATGGTATTACCTCAGAGATGTTCATCTCACTGCTAAGGGGAATTGCTCAGCTGAGTGAGAGCAGACAGGAAAACAAGCAAACAAACCACCACCAGCAACAACAACAATGAAAACTGCTGCTTCTAATTACACACTGAACTGAAAAGGTTCAAAGTTTACTCTCTGGGACTGACGTAGTTGCTTAAAAATTGTATATTCTATAACAAATGTACAATAAATTTGGAGCTGTTTGAAATTTAATTTTGCTTTTTTAGTATTGCTTTAAAATGATAGGAACATCAAAATGTTCAATGTTTTTTGAAAGTTAAGTAGGAAAATAAGTTTGCTTGCTGCTTTCCTCTCTTTCCCAGCAGGGCAATGGAACAACTGCAGGTAAAAAAGAACACAGTTTTGACCAGTTGTCAGAAATGAGAGTGAAATATCCATTATTTATCAAAGAAATAGGTTTAAACATTTGAATCGTGTGGAGGCAATAAGAAAACTGACTATGCCGAAAAGATTGGTACAAACACAGCCACGTCGTCTATTGAATTTTCATTCCCTACTTCATTCTTAGGACTCTTGAATTGTCCTACTGCAGCTGGACAGGACCGCAAAAATGAACATAGCAATGCTTTTGATTTTAGAAACTCTTCAGTCTTCAGGCCTGGTAAGTATTATCAAGGCAACCATTCTGATAGGATAAATATGTGCACTTAATCATGTTGTGAAAGTTAGTGCAGAAATGTGCTGGGTCTTTGTACCATTCTTGCTGTGTTTCACAGAGAAAATATGACATTATATTGGCATGAACACTTGTATAATTGTATTTTCACTAGAGGAATTCTGACATTTCAACTTTTGTGGCATATTCTAAACATGCAAAATATTCTTTAAAAGGCAATACATTAAAAAGCCCTTTTTACTATCTCTTCTTTGGCACATTAGATTTTTATTTTGTTTTGTAACTTGTGTGGGTAGTCATTTGTTTGAACGGTCATCTTGAAATGAGAAAAAGAATTAAAAGCATACCAGTGTTGACTCTGAGGCTAGGCAATGATACAGCAGTTGTCCCTTCTCAGCCAGTCCTCAGGTCTGTGCATTCTCTGATTATTCATACCATCAAAGAATAGCCTATTTAAAATTAGAGGCTCTAAAAATCTCTCGAGATTTTCCTAACAGTTGCATCCCTATGTAGGAATAGAAGGAATTTATAGGTAATACTTTATGCTTCGTAACAGATAAGAATGGATGGGAGTGTCAACTGATTTTTATCAAAATAATCCCCCTAAATGTCCACATGTCAACTAAGAGAATTCGTCAGAAAGTGAAAGTGAGAATGTAATTGTAACATGGTGTTGAATCATGGAATTATTTGGGTTGGAAGGGACCTTAAAGATCATCTAGTTCCATTGTCCTGTCATGGGGGTACAGTTTCACAATAGTTTGGCAGTTTGCCAGTTTTATGCCATAGATTTTCACTCACAATTCCCAGCTGCGCATGAACTTAAACTGCATTATTCTTAGCTCATTTTAGAGCATGTAGATGGTGAAGGGTGGCTTATACCAAGTGAGACTTGCAGGTGCTACCAATTTCTTTGCACTATTGAATTGTTTGCTTAAAAGAAGAAGATAAAATCCTGTGTTCACCCTACATGAGAGCAGAGAATGAGTGAGGATGTTTTTCCTTTATGACTGAAGAGAACCCCTGCCCGGGGTACTGCTGAAAATAATGGAGTTTTGTCATGGTGTGGTGTGCCTCCATTTGAGATGCTGGGAGGGGAATTTCACTGAGACTATTATTACAGCTTCTGTCTTCCCAACATCTCAAAGAAAAACTGAGCCTAACCAGTGGGAAAATGCATACATAACTCACAGTCACATTGATAAGCAAGAATTTTGAATTTTGGAGCAGAGGCAAGCACCTAAACCATATTTTTTAAATGTTTTGTGTCTGCTCAAAGACAACTGGGTTATCAAAATAAGATTCTTACTAGTTAAGCTTCATAACAGCTCAAGCAGACAGTTTTATCCGATTAGGATGTGAGAGGAGTTTCTTCAAAGAACTCGAAAAATAAGCCCAGTTCATCCGGTTCTGATCCCCAATCTTACACCCTGCAGAGTAGAGGCACCCCAGTGTCTTCCTGCAGCAAGTGACCATAAATGATTTTTCTGTTCATTACCATATTAAATGGGATAGTCTCACCTATCCAGAGACACTTTGCAGGATCATTCAGCATAATTAACTAAAAACATGCTACTTTATCTTTCGCAGGACATAGCTGATTAATTTCCTGGCTTAGAAGAAACGTGTGTGAAGATAAAAGCCTTCTTTCTTTGAATAAAGAGAAAATGTTTCATAGCTTTTCAAATAACTTCCTTTAAAGGAATCTAGGTAAATGAAGACAGAAGTACCTGTTCAATATTTATTCATTGAAAAGCAGAGAGATTTCTGCTGTGTCTTGTTTTTGAAACAATGTTAAAAGCTGTCCTAGTGTAATTGCATTGAGCCTAATGAATTGTCACTGGAGATGAATTTGGTCCTGGTATCTCTGTTTTCACCTGCCAGAAAAAAAATGGTTTTAATCTGACTTTACATATTAATCACTCACAGACAAGGAGACAAGTCCTGGAACAATTCCGTCTTCTTTAGACGGACTTTCTAATTCAGCTTGTTATATAATGAAGTGAGAGAAAAGTCAAGATCACTCAATTTTTGCAACGGCTTTGAGTCAGTTCACAGATTTTTATCATGTTTAACCCCAAACTCAAGAATTAATCATTGTCTGCGAAAATACGTAACTTTTAAAGTATATTTGGAGCACAGAAAATGCAAAAATACTTTGGAAATTTATTATCTGACTTGCATGCAAAAGGTTGCTTTAGAAGAAATTTGGGTTACTTTTGAATACTCTGGCTTTCAGACTGGTGGGGAAAGTGCTGTGTTCATGTTCTGCCTAGGCAGGCAAGGTACCTATGCCAGCACTGAGAATGGCCATGCGGTGTCTGGGCAAAGGGCCTGGGATGTCTGGGCTGTCAGAGGCCCAGGAGATGCCCTGCAGGCAAGGCTGTGTCCTCCTCCTGCCTTCCCTCACACCATCCCTCCCTGCACCAAACCTTCGGACAGGCTCCAGTCCCTGCGCCCAGATTAGAGGGGAATATGTTGCATTGAAAAAGCTTCTGTCTACACTTATCCATGGCCTAAGATTTTTCTTGGAAAATATGTAACTTCCACAGCCTCACGGCTTCCAAATTCAATACTGATAGCATGCATTTCCTGGGGAGCTTTAATTTAAGACCAGTTCTGCCAGGCAGCCTTACTTGGAAATTGAGTTAAAGAGATGTTTCTTAATCAGTAAAACTTCTCTCATTCATGAAAACTTGTCTCTATCAGATGCATTGACTTGCAGACCTGGTTGAAATTATTTGTTGTTTTGGCTTGTTCCAAAAACATCACACTATATAATCCAGATTTCAAGCTATGGCCATTTTGAAAGTGTTGTTTTTTGTGATTTCTCTTTTCAAAGAGAGGTTGGTTTCTCTTCCCTCACCACAATGGAATAATTGGTGGGCTGGCATGAATGAGTCATGAGCTGCATACACTAGGACTACTTAAAGTCCTTCAAACCTCACTTGATAATTAGAAGTGAGAGTATAGGCATAGCCCTCAAATCCTGATTAGAAGTCACTTAAAATAATTACAGAAGCAATGAAATATTCTCACCCTGGCAGGCAGCAGCTAATCCTAGTGGATGAGCAGAAATCTCCATAAAATATTCTTGAATGTGATAAAGTAAAATTTCAGATTATGTGTTACAAAAAAAAACATTGCTCAGATACACAAAAGTAACCCAAAGAAGACAAAGGTCAGCCATAAGTTAACAGTCGTATAGTGTGTAATATCAGTTGTTATGTCCTCTATTATAATATAAAGAATTGCTGATATTACATTGTCTTTAATAATTTAAATATTACTTTGATAAGTCAGCTATATTCAGCCCTAACTTCATTGTCATTCATAACATTCACTTGCAAAAAACCCATGTGATTTTCATTATGTGAGTCTATTTGCACCTTCATCTCCTTATATTTTAACCTGAATTTTTCCCCATGTATGCAATTATTTCCTCCTTTAATTTTTCTTGTTTTGATTTCTGCATTTATGATACATTGATTGAGAAACACAGATGTTTGGAAATGAGGTTAGAAATATCTGCTTGGGCCCACTGTAAAGTCTGAGGACTGTTTTTTTGGAAACCTTGCATTTCCCATCTTCTGAACAGTAATACACACATTATGGAGTAGAGTTGTCATTTCAAGGCAGACTTTCATAAAGTATTGACCATTAGTGCACTATCTGTCCTCCTGCACCATTCATGATTCATCAAGAGCCAAGAAGGAACAGTTTGATTTTTCTGGCTAGTATGCCTTCATCCTTAATGTATTTGCTGAGATTTAAGTTCAGAGCCAGGTATTGCCAGTATTTCAGATTATACAATGTCATTAAAAGCTTCTTTGTCTTTATCAGGAGCTGTAGTTTAAGCCATGTGTATCCTACACCTTCCTATTATAAGTTTTTTGTTGTTGATTCCCACCTGCTCTTGTTTTGAATCCACATTGCCTTGGGAAT